ACCAAACACATTGATCCTATCTCCTGAACAAAGCCAGCTTGGGCTTCAACACCAACATTGGAAACATTAAGTAGAAACCGCATCGACCTTAAGTTGCTGTAGAAATACACCCTAAATTTTGGCCCATATTGCCTTTTACATCGAGTGTAACAAATACTGTATTGCCAGCTCCAATAAAACTTAATTTACAAACTACATTTAATTAAATTCTATCTCGAAAGATCACTTGCTGTGCTGTTCACTGTAAACTGCAAGGAAATTCAAAGTGTCATTCTGAACTCGTATTTATATGTAAAAGAAAAACTACGTTAATTTCGTAAAATCGAGTACTTCCAATTATTGGTCTTTAAATAATAAACCTTTTATTATAGTTTTGCAGAGAACTGTGGACGGAATTTTTACATCTGGTCTGTTTGTGGCTAAATGGGTCGCTTATGCATTGGGAATGATTGTTTTTCACTTAGGTTTATATCGGTAAAAGAAAGTCAGGACATCAGAAAAGTTTGCAAACGAATTCACTTCCAAAAGTAAGCTGCGACCTTACTTACCCTTAATACTGCGGTTCTTTCTGGTTTCCGGATTTGATTCGATAGCGTAAACATTCACATAGACAGAGAGAGAGAGACGTTACAACAGCCCCGCTGGATACTGCGGCTTCCATGAACTCGAGACCCACTGTTTACTCGGTAGCCCCTGATCTCACCACTTGTCACTTACAGGCAAGTTCAGTTCAATTCGGTGTCAGCTAACGAACGGCCTCTACCTACTCAGATTGACTTAGAACTGGGCCGCCAATGACTGCAATAATACTTAAACGTGTTTAAAACAATTTCAGAAATTCAAACGGGCAATTAGGGAGACAGTTTCTTTTTTTATACGACTCAAAGACTCGCCAGGCCCCTCTAGGGGAAAGTTATAAGTTAGTGAAACAACGGGTACAGGACCCGCTCAAGTTTCCAGGATCAGACTAAAGTGATTTGATGGAAAGTGTGACAATTTCTATTATTCCAAGCCGTCTTCAGTATTCGGAATTGTTTTGAATTCTGCCATTTCAAATTCTTTTGCAAAAATGCGATGAATATTGCACAATTGCTTCGCGCAGACTGTTAATGTTAATTCTGATTCACTTTAAAAATAGAGGAAAAAAAAGAGAATTGCATTCAGTCCTGCAATTTCCTCTCTCGCTTAGTGTCTCGGAAGTTTCAAAAGATTTGCAAACGTTTTGCAATCAAGATGCACTCCTAACAAATATTCACCTATCTTACACCAGAAAACTGCCTGTAACACAAATAAAAAACACATTTACTTACTGAACGAATTACCTCAACTGTGGGATTCACCGGCCTGTTACTAACCCCTATGAATTGTCTGTGACACTAGTCTCAATCAGCCTGCCTCCTCACTCAGTTCATTAGATGCTAACACGATACTTATCGGTGGATGAGGAGAACTTACTATTCTAATTTGTAATACACTCCTCACAGAGAAAAAAAAACGGCGTAGCTCTTTTGTTTAAAGCTTTCTTTTCCTGAAAGCTGGAAAGTATATGTTTTCTTTGCATCTCCCCAATCTATATTTTACTTTCTTTTGAAAATAGTTTGCAAATCGGATTCCCTAAAATAGTAGAATAAATGTCATTCGTATATTTCATTTAAATTCTTAGTTTTGGAAACAAGTCGGCTTGTTTAGGTAATGAAAGGTATTTTCTGTAACAATTAACTGAGAAGTGAAGCTCTTTATTAAAACAAAAGCTGAATAACTGTTGTACGAGGTAAGTGGAATTGTTCATTCCACAAAGTGCATGATTTTTATTGTTTGCTGACGATTTTTAAAAATGTGATCTTTGTCTTTTCAAATGAATCTCTTTTCGCTGATCCTGAATGAAGAAAGCGCTTTATCTTGAAACTTAATAATGAAATTTAATTTTCATTTTATGTATATATATATGTTATTTATACAAATCTTACTTTATACATTCACAGACACCTATAGATTCACGCACAGACACACAAATATGTAGTGTTGATAATTTACAGTCCAGCACACTGTTATGGCCCGTAACGTGTACAATTTCCTCGTAATATTTAATTGTAAATCATTGACACTCAGATTTTGGTTTAATTTGTTTTAGTTAAAAAATATAATAGAGGGGAAACGGCGCCCATTCCCTAAAGACCAAGGGTGAATCACTGGAGAAGGGGAAATAGTAAAGTTTATTGCATATCCGTGCAATAACCTGGACGTTGTTTTCAACATATCGGACTGCGGATGTTCAGCTTGATCTAATTTACAGTTCAAGCATTTTCAAAGTCCCTAACTTGCAGAGAAAATGTACAGTCCACACCAGCTCGCGTTTTCTTTAGCTGATGTCAGTCACAAGCTTCGGATTGCTGGAAATATTAGGTCAATTTCAATAAACCAAAAGTATAAACAATTGTTACAATAATCCAATTGAAATGGAGAAAGGAAGCCGAGAATGTACCGCAAGGCTATACACATCCTCCGAGAAACCTTTGCTTGTCCACATGTATTCGAGTTTCATGAAAGAAAATATTTTTACACATGGAACCAGTTACGCACCAGTCAGCTGTGTTTCTGCTCCCTTCAATCCCCATGTTATTACTGACCCGTCTTTTTTTTTATATTTTACCTTGCTGGACAACGTGTGTTAAATCCACCAGTAAAAACATAACGTTGAATGTTTTTAAACTGTAAAAACAATGAAATATTATAACGGCAGCGAGGTGAATCAGTGTCGAACTGTAAACGTTTCAGTGCCCGGAGCTATAGAATCCTGGGGGCTAATTCCATTTATATTTGAGTTTTGTGCAAAAATACTTCTCAGAACTCCCATGTAGTTGGTCCATATATTAATGGTCTGTTATACTATAAAATCACGTTACGCAGAACGACAAACGATTGTATTGATCGTGAATCGTGTCGCTTTTATGGGAGACTAAAACAAAATAAAATCGGTCTATTAGTTTGAGGCAAACCGTCAGCTGATTTTTAAAATTTTTTTGTTGAAGTGTTTGCACTTTTTAGTTTGTTAGTGATTGCGTTTCTCTTTTAAATTATTGTTCAGCGCTAGCAGCAAGAAATTGGCTGTGTTAACGTGTAAAGTGCACAGCGTAGAGTTACATTCATTCAAATAGCATTCTACCTCCGCCGGTTTCCCACTGCAATGTTCTCCCCATGTGGGAATGGACGGGTTGAGGGACTGGAGAACGGGAGAAGGAGAATAGTATGGCGATTGTGAATGCAGGCTCTGACTAACTACTAAATCCTTACTTATTATCCTGCAATTCCAGTCGAATTCCAGTTCCGATAGATCCCCCCATTAGAATTACGAACTCATCCAAATATTGCTGACAGCTAAAGGACACGGAACAATCTCACCAACACTTGCGAGGGTGTGTAAATTTTCTCGCACCGTGTGCGAAATTAGATCATATTTTGGACATGCTTTGGCTAAACGTTATTTCTTTAAAACAAAATGAAACGTACGCACGTCTGCCGAGTGCTATTTGATGGATGCAGAGAAATAAGTTACAAGTTATTTTCTGAAGTTGTCCCTGCGTGCTTTATCGTGGGAAACGACTAAATCGACTGATCATCGCATAAACTGCTCAAGTTCCCAAACGGCACAGCAAGATCCCAGAAGTTCAGGAAGGGGAACAAGGCCACGGTCCGTTTGTCTCTCACGGCGGCCCCCGGGGTCCCGTAGAGCCGAGGAGGCCGGCGTTTACCGCACTGGTGTGGGGAGGGGAGGGCTGGGAGCAGGATCTGCAGGAGGGTGGCTGTGCCACACCGCTGTGAAAATATAGAGCAAGCTGACGTGAAATAGCCCGGGAGGGGCTCCTGAACTAACCACCACCTCCCCCCCACCCCCATCTCGCACTCTCTGCGCCCCGACTGAGAGAGCAGCGTCGAAGTACACAGCAAGATCCCGCCGCCCCCTGCAGCGGGGATGATGATTTGGGAATGCGGGAGTGAAGCCCCTGCAGCAAAGGCAGGAGCCCACACTGGATCGAAACTGATCGCTTTCTCTGCTCCCGGGTGCACAATTTGCATCTCCCACCTCTGCGCTTCAGGCTTAACTGCAGGCGTCGTTTTGGGGCTTTTGTTCTTTTTATTAAAATCATGTGCCCTCAAGATGGGAACACATCTCCCGGTCAGAGATGGCAGATCCCGGTTAGATGTGTCAGTCGCCTCTTAAATCCGTAAAGAGCTGCACAAGTACATAGAACGCAGTGGAAGTGATGTCTCTAAACAGTGGATTGTCATGAATTGAAAGGGTCAGTTTTGCAGTGGGTTTGTGTCCAGTGAAAACATTTAAAAAATTGGGTCCCCTTTTAAATCTGTATGTACATATCCATAGGGACATACATATATACTTCCATACGTGCACATGTGTATGTGCATACACACAAAGACAGCAATAATGGCGATTCGCTGGTTATTAGACCATTCCCCTTTGAAGACGGGTTATTTTCCGAAGCTGATCTTGTCACAGGACTAATAAAACGTGGCAGTGTTCCGTGCATGCCCACAGTTACACACTGTGCACCCAGCTAGACAGGTATGACTGCTAACAATTAACCCCCATCCCCACCCCACCCCCGCCCCCACATCCAGCCAGTGCTCGGAAAGAAGGAGCTTCCTTCAGGATAATTAGTGACTAGTGGAACTTCACACGCTCTTGGCTCCCCTGGTGTGTTGCTATTGGCTTCACTTTGACAGGCGGTGAGCTATCGGCCTCCACACTTGGCACTGCAAGGGAGACACTGGAAGTACGAGAGGTTTCTTTGCCCAGGAGTGATGCAGAGAGCGCGGTATCCAGTCCAACCCTTGCACTAACTGGGAATGGGACTCATTCTGGGACGCAGTGTCCATCTCCTCGTCAGTCTCCCAGGTCGGCTCGGCCGCGCTATTCCAAACAAATCCCCCCAAATCCCTTTGGAGCCCCGGGGTGACGCCCCGTCGATGGTAACAGCCCGATGGCTCTGAGTACTCGGGCCCACGCTTTCTCGGTGGAATCTCTGGTGGGGCACTCTCTAAAGAGGAAACTGGAAGAAGGCGAGGATGGGAAGGCGAGAGACCGGCCCGGAGACACGCTAAAACAAGCCCAGAGCTCCAAGCAGAGAGAAAAGCAACAATCAGGTCGGTCACCCTTGTGTGATAGCCATCGAATATGATCTCTCAAATCTCAGCACCTTCCCAGTGCTGTACTGGGATTCTGCAAAGGACTGCCGTTACAAATTAGCAGACTTGGAAATATTATTGTTCCTTATGTGACTCATGTCAGTTTGTAATTTGTTTCCTACTTTTCCGATTTACATTTTTATTTCTTTTAACTTCAACAATTCCCTGCTTCCGTCAATTTTGAAACCTAATTTTGATACATTCTTTTCAGTTCCATGTCGGCAGATTTTAATTCGCGCTAACAGTCTAGAAAGGGAAGGCAAGGTTTGAGGAGAAGCTACAGTTTCTGAAACGAAAGCAGTAAGATTTCTGTTGAACTCGGCGATCGACAGAAGATATCCTAGATTCAAATTAGTGTCAGTCCCGATGTTGGAAAGGCTGTTGTCTCCCAGAACCAGAGAGCCAGTTTTATTTTGTGTTTTCACTGAAGTTATTCGTTCTGGTTAAAAGGTGAAAGTTCACTCAAGTTGCTACTGGATGAGACAGAGGCGCGATAATATTCATTTGGGGTTGGGTGGGAGTGGGGGTTTATGGTTGATCTATAGAAGCCCTGGATGAGGAGTACTGGCGGGGTATGTTGATGGCAACATTGCTGTTTGTTTTTTTTTCGTTGCTGCATGTGATGGAACAGGGGAGGCGAGAACTCGGGCGAGCAAGACCCGCAGTGGCTCCGGACCCACCTCACCCGCAGGGGACTCCGAAGGTCTTCAACTGGAACTGCAAGGCTCCGAGCTTTGGAAACGATTTCACGAGATTGGGACAGAAATGATTATCACTAAAGCCGGCAGGTGAGGAGAGTGAGATAGATAGATAGATAGAGAGAGAGAGAGAGCGCCTGGGTCTGTGCAAGATAGGGAGAGAGAGAGCTTTCAGCGCGCACTGTCTCAATACGTTTGTATAGCATTCATACTTCTAGAGTTTTCGGGCCTCAGTTTAGAATTAGACGGAGCTGGAGGCGATGATGGCACAGTGGGTTAGTAACATGACTCTCAGGTTAATGTTCTGGGGATGTAAAATCATCCAATCTCTACAGTGTGGAAGCAGGCCATTCGGCCCATCGAGTCCACACCGACCCTCCCAAGAGCACCCCACCCGTACCCCACCCCCCCCCCTATCCGCGCTGCCCTGCATTTCCCACGGCTGATCCACCTAACCTGCACATCCCTGCGCGCTGTGGGCAATTTAGCATGGCCAATCCACCTAACCTGCACACCTTTGGACTGGTGGGCTCGAGAAATTTAGAGTCTCGTGTAATCTGGATCGCAAAAGCGAGAACGAAAGTGGGTAACTCTGTCGGTGCCATCGCTTTCATCAAACGAACCGAGAGTCACAAAACAACGCTTTGGTTCCTCAATCAAATCTTGAGCTCATTCGGATGAACTTCATCAGACGACTGAGACAAACCGGGAACGGGGGATGGGGGTCGTGAACTCCCACCTTCTCCAAATTGGGAAAGTCCTCTCCGCCTGACTGCTTTTGTGTTTTCCAAATCAGGCCGGTTAGAATAAAGAATTACTAACGTCCTAAGCGAACATATCACTGTCTAATCAATTCAATATTCGGCGTTATTTTCTTTCTATTTGCCCAGGCTGAGTGATGGTGTTCACTCAGAATTGAAAGGAGATGTCAGTATTTGATCCTTCACATATGGAGGGGACCCTCCGCGGAGGGGACCCATTCCCAGCGAGCGATTGTAAATCTACAGAGTCTAGATGGTCCAAGTAAACATTTCATTACATTTTAAAAGGGCCGTGTGTCCTAAACACCTAAATCAATGAGGCGATTCTAAAAAAAACTGTCAACTTCCCCAGTCCCTGTCAAGGCGGTTTCGGATTCACGGGTGGAATACAACAAAGGTCTAACGGTGCTGGTTTGTTCTTTAGGCGCATGTTTCCCGCTGTTCGGGTGAAAATCAAAGGTCTTGAACCGGCCAAGCAGTACTATATTGCCATGGATATCATCCCCGTGGATTCCAAAAGATACAGGTAAAGTGAGCAGCACAGGAATCCAGTAGCTGCACTTTGAGAGTGAAATGTTTGAGGGATTTGACCATGTTTCTCATCTAAACCGGAGAGGACAGGTCTTCCCTGTATATGTTCCACGCGGTCACGTCTTTTATTGAAAAAAAATACACAGAACGTTCGCGTACTGAACTCTTCAAATTCAGCCGGAACTGCTTGAGGGAGAAGTGGCCTTTTTTTTGGTTAAAAATAAAGCTTTAACTGAAACAGTGACAGGATTTGACATCTCGACAATAAGCTTCGTTGCCTTATATTTATGAACACCAGGAGATAATTAAATACAAGCAGAACTGGTAAAATAATTCTGGAAATCTGATTTATTTTAAAAAAGCACACAAACAGAAACTGCTGGTATTATTTAGCAGCAACTGTAAATTGAGAGAGGCAGTTAACGTTTCAGTCGAAATAAAGATGAGCGGAACTGAAGGGTCGCTGCTATTTAGAGCGACACTTTCAGACGGTGGTTGTAAACACAGCGAGAGCCAGGACTATTCCTTAGGATGAGACCGGTCTCCCTTAATAACAAAGAAATGGGTCTACCCACATTCAGGTAACTGCCCTTCAGAGCTTTTCTCTTCAGCTGGCCGGTGAGGAAACTGCCTAAGGCGTTATCTCGCTGTAAACTGCCGAAGGAGATTTGTTAATGAAGGAGATGAAGTAGGCATCTCAGTTATGGAGATACTGTAGAAACTGTTAGGGTACACCCTGCAGCCGACGAGGTCAAAGGGAGATTTGATAATGTTCAAAACCATTTGACAAAGTGAACAGGTAAAACTTGCCCCCAGGTCACAGCAGGGTCAGTACAGTTAATGTTAACCAGGAGGTATATACACAGCAAGTTGTTCTGATTTGAGAGTGCACAGGTGGGATAGGTGCTAATTCTTGATTCAATAATGTCGTCTAAAACTGAACGGGGTAAACAATCGAAGGGAACTATGACAGTATTGCTGGGGATGGGCAGGTGAGTGGGATTATTAACAGCTCTTTCAAAGAGGTGTGATGGGTCGAATATCGTCCTTAGGCGTTGCATTTTTTTTAAATTTTACACTCCTTAATTTATGCTTCTTGGCTGCCGGATTATCCCTCCCCCGCCCTTTCCACTCTACCTGGACAGTCACTCCTTGTGTGGTGTCCTGCAGGTATGTGTACCACAGTTCACAGTGGATGGTGGCCGGAAACACTGAACAGTCCCCGTTAACCCCCCGTCTCTACGTGCACCCGGACTCGCCAGCTTCCGGGGAGTCCTGGATGAAACAAATCGTTAGTTTCGACCGGGTGAAACTTACCAACAATGACATGGACGAGAAGGGGCATGTAAGTAATCAGTTTTAAAATCTCATCTAAGACATGCCTGTCCCGAAAACAGTAACATTTCACAACCGCAAATTCAACACATATTGTATGTGGTCAAACTATTTATGAAAGTGTAGGTGACGATGTGTGTTTTTATGACTGTCAGTGTGAGTATATGACAATGAGTCAATGTGGCAATGTGTTAATGTGTTAGAGATAACAAGGTGTACAGCTGGATGAACACAGCAGG